TGTAACAAATAGAACAACTTCTGAGAAATAAGTCTCAGACGATTGATATTGTACCTATATAAATTGTAATCATTTTGGATTTAGGTAGTTTTTCTAATTCATTTTTAAAATACAGCTACCAAAACTGTAGCCTCCAAATAAGGGGTTAAATAATGTCACATCCATATTAGGCTATGTACAGGCATATCATACACAGTTGACCGAATGACTGATTTAAGGACATCAGAAAGCCTACTTCTAATATTTTGTATATCATATTGTTGCTACTGAAGTATGCTTAAAGATTTAATTTTAAAATGTACATTTTCTTTAGAAGTTATCAAATACTAAATACACACCAAATAATATTTTCAACATCTGTGTTAATTTATAAAGAAAAAAAATAAAATGAACACCTGTTTTCCCATTAGCCAATTTATAGAACATTACTCAATACTTTGAAGTCCCCTTTATGGCCTTGCCCATTCCAATTCCAATCCTTCTCCCCAACTATCTTAATTTTTTTTCTTTGCTGTCTTTATAGTATTACCACATGTATCCCTAATCAACATATGGTTTAATTTGATAAGATTTTAGAATGGAATTATATTTGTTTGAATCACATTAGAAGTATTCTTCTGTTACTTGCTTATATCATGCAACATTCTGTTCATAAGATTCATCCATAATGATATGTTTGAATATAACACAATTTATGTCTTCTCTTGTTAATGGATATCTAAGTTATTACCAGTTTTCTGGAACATTCTTATATATGTTTCTCCATGCAGATTTGTAAGAGCTTCTATGCCTCAAAATAGAACTGCTAGGTTGACATATGCACGTGTTAGATAATAAATTATTTTGTATGGTTGACCTAATTGACACAACCACTAACAGGGTAAGACAGTATAGGAGGCTCCACTTTCTTGTCAAAATATTTGCCAATCTAATGGACATAAAATATTTCCTCCTTGTGACATTTCTTAAAGCTTTTATTCTTTCTTGAGGTAAAATTTACATAAAAAGAAATGCACAAATATTAAGTGTACCATTCCATGAGATTTTACAAATGGATATACCTTGTAACTCAAATCATTATCATCACCCCAAAGTTAGTTCCTTCATAACTTTGCCAGGTAATCCCTGTCCCAAATCACTGTTGTGATCTTTTTCCCTCACAGATAAATTCTGCTTGCTTCATAACTCAATAAAAATGGAGTATGCATTGTTTTGTCTAAGACTTTCAGTTAGTATAATGAGGTTCATCTACGTTGTTGCAGGTATCAGTATTTATTCCTTTTATTGCTTAGTATTTCATTTTATGAATAACCATAGTCTGTTTAGCCATTCCCTTACTGATGGACACCTGGCTGTTCTACTTCTGACTAGCATGAATAAAGCTATTATGTACACATACTATCTATGTACATAGCATCTTGTTTTATTTTCAGTGGATTTATATTTTGATTTTTCTTGGCTAAATACCTAAGAAGAACTGCTGAGTTACTGGGGGATGGAAAGGGGGAGGAGGAGGGTAAGTGTATGTTTAACTTTGTAAGAAACTTTCAGACCTTTTTTCTAAAGTAGTTGTACCATTTAACCCTCCCATACAGTTTATAAGAATTGCAGTTGCTCATGATCCCAACTAATAATCTATTTAATTTTAGCCCTTCTGGTGGGTTACTTATTGTTGTTTTAACTTGCATTTCCCAGATGACTGATGCTGAGCACATGGTTCCTTAAGATCTTCTGTTGTGGAGTGTCTGTGCTATAAAGTATCTTTTCAAATCATTTGTCCCCTCCTCCCATATTTTGTTTCTGATTCATCTTTCTGTTACAGAGTTATATAAATTCTTTATCTATGTAGTCCTTTGACAAAAACATATTTTGCAAATATTTTTCCCAGTCTGTGGCTTATCTCTTCATGTTCTTAATGGTATCTTTTGATGAACAGTTTTTTGTTTTTGATGAAGTCTACTTTGTAAATCTTTTCTCTTATGGTGATCGCCTTCTGTATCTTAAGAAATCTTTGCCTACCTTCAAGTCATAAAGATATTCTCTGATGTTTTCTTCTGAAATCCTATGGTTTTAGCTTTTACAACCAGTAATATGATCCATCTCAAATTGATTAATGTGCATGGTGCAAGGTAGGAATTGAGATTTATTTATTTTTTCCATATGGATATCCAGTTGTTCCAGCACCATTCATTGAAAAGCTTCCTCTCCCTAGTGGGTTGCTTTGGATTTGTGCTAGAAATCAAGTAAATGTGGGTGTATTCTAGTTTCCATTCAGATGCATGGATCTACCTGTTGATCCCTGTGGTAGCACTGCTGTCTTGGTTACTGCAGCTTTACAGTAATGGTACCAAGTCAAGCCTTCCAACTATATTTTTAAGATAGTTTTGAATATTCTCATTCTTTTACATTTCCATATAATTTTTAGAATTGGCTTGCCAATTTTACAAAAAGGCTATGAGATTATGGTAGAGATTACATTGAATCTATAGACCAATTTGGAGAGAAATGTCATTTAATTGAGTCCTTCTGATCCATAAACATGGCATCTCTGTTCATTTATTTAGGTCTTCTTTAATTTTTCTCAGTACTGTTTTGTTGTTTTCAACGTACAGATTTTACATGTCTTTTGTTAAATTTATTCCTAAATGTTCTTTTATTAAAAATAAAAAATAGGTTAATTATTAATAATCTCAATTAAAATACTCACTTCTTAGGGCTTTGTTTTTACCACTTTCTCTTCCATTTTCCCCTCCTCATCTGCCTCCTCCTTCCTCCTCTTTTTCCCCCTTGTCATTACTAATACCATCGACCAGCTTGTTCTCTTCCTCTCCCACTTCTGATATCTTTCCATCTTACTGAAGGATGAACATATTCTCATTGAAATAGGCTCTAGATTCCTCCACTGAGTCACTGGTGAGGGATAGAGCCCTAGGATCATTAATAATTCTTTGGTCAGTTGTTTCTATATTTTCTGAAGAAATCTTATCCAAGGTGTCATAGCAAGACCATTAGACACAGTATATTCAGATAGAGGTAACTTGTTCAAACCAAACACTTACCCATTTTTTATCAGATATAGTAATATATATAGGAAAAGACACACTTTTGAGGTCTTTCTTTTAATGGTTCACTTCAGGATAAAAACAACTTCAATTTTTTTCTGGATTTCTCTGTTTTTCTGGATTGATTTTTTTCTTTCTTTCATGGGTACTTTCTTCCTGAGAAGTTGCTGCACTACCCTTTTTTCTTCTGAGAAAAGCAAAGTTCTCTTTTTAATTGGCAGTTCTATCTGCTTGGTGACTATGTGTTAGCACCCTCTGGGCTATCAAAGTGAAGAACTCAATTCACGCACGGTATGCAGCACCCTGGCTGCAATATCAGTAGCAAAGAATATTGCAGCTCTCTTACAGCCTAACTTCTTATAGACTGCATTTTTCTCATCTGCTGCCATCAACCATAGAAATAGGGTGTAGCCAGTAGAAAATTTGGTTTAGACACTGAATTTCTTTACAACTGGAAAAAATATAATACTCTTCTTCAGATGGCTTCTCAAAAAGGAATACATGACACATATTTTACTATGGCTCACAAACTATGTAGTTTTGTTGCAAAATGGCAGGGGTGCTATATTTCACTTTTCCCACCAACACAAACACATTCAGGGCTTTTCCAACACAAGCATATAAGATCTCTCATAGGTCTGATTTGTCTTACCTAGAGAAAAAGCAAAGTTAATGTTTCTTGGGAAGATTTTTGATAGCAGTATTAATGATATCAAGCAAAGTCCACGCCTAGGATTCTATCTACTTCATCATGAAGTAACCTTTGGGGACTGATATCATAAAAACTTACTGCTTCATCTTTGTGTGGAAGAAGTCAAACCTGATGCAAACAAGTGTATTTATGTTGTTGATTCTCAAGCTCGTTCTAGATCCTTTCCATCAATGATAGGATTGCTGAAAAGTCGTAATTCTTTTCTACTTTTTGGAAAATCACAAAGGCCTGAGAAATAGCTCAGTTCTCTATTAGATGGTATTAGCAGAACCCACGGAACATCTGTCAAGGCCCACTACAGAGAATAAACAGCTTCTAGCATGGGGACAAGTAAAGATTTCCTTGCAAAGCTAGATTAAAAAAAAGTTTCTGTCCTCTAGTGTTCCCTCAATAGAGGCTCAAAGGAATAATTTTTAAATTCTTTTAAATTTAAAATTATTTCTTGTTGACTTTAATTGAACGGCTGTTTGGACAGATATAAAAATCTGTAAGTTACCTATTCTTTTCTTAAAAATCTCTTAACTATGCTCCATTTTATTGCATTGAATGAAATCTGAGTCTAACATACTTTCTCCTTTTATAAATGTCTTGACCTATTTGTCTGGCTCCTCCCCCAACTGTTTATCTCTGAGGTCCAGCAACTTTACTAGGCATAGGCACACAGTATACCTTTTTAATATTGAGATTCAAGTTGTCTTTTATTTTGGAAAAGTTTAATCTTTAAACATTGGCTTTATTTCATTAGTTTGGGCTTTTTGTTGGGTCTACAATTATACATATGATGGATCTACAATGCCTTCCTTCTATCAGTGGTCTTCAAGATGAGGTACATCTGGGGCTGCACAAAGACTTTCCAAGAGATATGCAGGAACAGAGTTTTAAGGCAAGCAATTTCCAGGTCTTCACCTTTCATCCTTCCTAATACTGATCTTTCTGGGAGTGCACCAGCAGCTATGGTATCATGCCAGCCTCTTTCCCCACTTTATAAAAGAAGTGCATATGTCCTAGGGTGTAAAAACTTCCAGCATGCCAAAGAAAGGGACAAATTACAACATGGCTTTCTATGGGTTCTCCTTTAATCAAAGGTCTTACTATAGTAAGGCCTTATTCTTTTTCTGTCTCATATATATTTTATTAATAAATAGAATATTTGGTCCATATTATATTATAAATCAAATGTACTGTAGAAAGAAGCAGTAATGAGGATATTTTACTGAAGACCTTACCTCTTCCATACTCTTATTACTGTTAAAGAAGCATCTCTCTGGGAGACTCTAGAAAGTGCACAGCAAAGATACACTGAAGGCAGCAGTACCTTACTGTATCCAGGCAACACAAGGTAAAGCTCTGTGCCTTATCTATTTATCTATATTAGAATTAGAATTCAGCCATGTGATGGTTGTCATGGAGGTATATATTAACATATTTATCTTAGCTGAAAAATCAAGTGGGACTCATACTGACAGAAGGATGTCTGATTTAAAGGGTAAGTTTGAAAATAAAGACTAGCTTTGTCAATTAAATGGTAAAGATTTTCCTAAAATTGAGTGATTGACATTTATAGCTGAAAGTTTTGATAAAAATATATTTAAGACCATATTAAGAAAAACTTTTCTTTAAAAATTGTATATTGGCAAATATACATTAAAATTGACAATATTTTAAACAATGCTTTTTAAGTATATTGGGTTAAATAGGGTGCCTCTAAGTAAGAGAGTAAAAAGTATAATGGTCATTTGATAAATCTTAGTTAAGCCTTTTTGATAAATGTACCCAAACTGAGAAAATAATAGAAACCGCTTTGCAAGTCAAGTGATTTCCAGTCCTTTGCTTTCTACAAATGATGTTATAATTGTCAGTAGAGAGCTCATTAAAATAATTTAATGTATAGATCACTTTATGATTTCTGGCATATAACTCAGAAGGATGAGAAAAGTTAATAAAGAATGCAATTTCTGTGATATTGTAAACACCGATATTTTAAAACTATATCACTCTTTTAAATGTATATTTGAGTTTGCTCACTTCTCTCATTTCTAATCTCTATAAGTTCACTATTTTTTCTGTATCATTTGTTTTCTTGTAGTCTTTCCAATTTTGTTTTCATTTCCTTGATAGTCTGTTTTTTCTTCAACTTCTTTCCTGAGATCTGCTTCTAAATTTATAATATTTAGTTTTATTATTAAATTTAACTATAATTACTAATTTATAACATTTTAACCTTTTCCCATCTTGCATATGAGATGAGGTAAGAATTCAATTACATTCTTTTTAATATGGACAATCTACTGCCTCAGCACCATATATTGAAAACTCTAGGTATCCTTTCCCTCACTTATGTACAGTACCAGTTTTGTCATCAATTAAGTTTCCACTTATAGATGGATCTGTTTCTGAATTCTCTATTCTTTTCATTTTTCAATTTGTATATCCTTATACCATATAATGGCTTAATTATAATTGTTTTATATTAACTGATGATATAAAGACAGGAAAAGCACCTCCTTGAAATAGGGCAGGAAAATCACTTTATTCTTTAGGAGTATATTTGCAAATTTTGGATGATTGCTCTTTAAGTTCAGAATTATAATGTTAAGTATCATCAAACTAATAATATTAATAGTAATAATTTAACTCCCCAAATCTGTCAGGGATTTTATTATATGTGCACTGAGAGGGAATAAACACCTTTGCAACATTGAATTTTCCAATCCATTAATGTGGTATTTCTTTACATTTAACTGGATTGTACTTAATGTCTTTCAAAAAAAGTTTATAACTTTTTCGATAAAGGTCTTAGACATTGTTTGTTATATTTATTCAAAATTATTTATATTGTATTGCTATGTAAATTGTTTCTTTTAAAAATTAAATTTTCTATGGTAACTCTACTGTGGAGAAATCTGGCAAACACCACCTTAACCAAGTTAACATCATCACTAATAAGTCATGTTGACATCATTTACTCCCTGATATGATGTGATATCATTATAAGAAAATATCAGACAAACTGAAATTGAGGCCCATCTTCCCAAAGACCTGACCACTACTCTTCAAAAGTATCAAGTCCCTGAAAGACAAGAAAAGACCAATAAACTGCCACAGATTGGAGCAGACTGAAGAGATATGGCTACTGAATGTAATACGGTATCCTGGATTGGATCCTAAAACAAAAAAAGAACAGTTGAAAAACTGGTAAAAAAAAAAAAGGGGGGGGGCTGTAGTTCAGTTAATATTGTTGTATCAATGTTAACTTCTTGGTTTTCATAAATATACATGGCTATGTAGGATGTTAATTACTTCAAAATAAAATGCTCTTTAAAATTACATACTGAGTTTTGTTATTGCTGCTGGTCTACTAAAATGCAACTGGCTTTCTTATATTGACTTTGCATTCAAAAACCTTGCTAAACTCTCTAATTAATTTTAAAAAATCAGTTGTAGAGTCCTGGGAATTTTCTATATAGACAATTAAGTCAATAATGACAGCTTTTTTTCTTCCTTTCCATTCCTATACCGTTTCCTTTAGTTCTTTCCCCTTCCCACCCTAACCTTCTCTGCTGGCTAGTTCTTTGGAACAATATTGAATAAAAATGGTGATATCAGGCATCTTTGTCTTTTAAGAGTGAAATAACATCTGTTGATGTTCCAAACTAATTTTAATTTCAGAGAATCTAGGAAATCATAAGCTGCTTTTGCTCTGAACATCTCTACCACAGAAAGAGCAATACCATTTTTTCAAGTTGCAAATACCGAAAATGTTTATCCGAAAAGCATAAAAGAATATGTAGCACAAAGAAAAAGTTAACATGAAGACAAAAGAGATGCACTATGATATTATGTTATTAAAACAAAATAAAAACTGTAACAATAACCTGTCCACACTTTGCTTTCCTCTGTAACAGTGTGGAAACTGTCACTGAGAAGTGACTGCCTAGCCAGAGTCTACATTTCCAAACCTTTTCCCCTTGCACCAGATGTAGTGTTGTGAATAGCTCTCCCTAAAAGATTGTCAGTGGCAATGACTGAGTGTCAACTCCCAGGCTGAGATTTTTCAGGAGCAGGTAAGGTATGCTCATGCTCTTTCCCTAGCTGCTAGAGGACTCAAAGGACTAGGTCACGAAAAGTCACCGGTTCATCAGGAATGCCTTCAAAGCACTGTTTCATTAGCAGTAAATACACTTTAATTGGGTTTAAACTATTACACATTTAAGGTCTATTTATAGCAGCTAGTTTTCCCCAATACAAACAATGGTATTTTTAAAGGGGAGGCTGACCAAAAATAGATCTAAAATATACAGCAACTGCTTAGCAGCCAGGCAGCAGAAGATGAAGAAACTGAGCAAAGGATGGGAAGGTAGTTATGTTATGCAGTCACAAAACACTTACTAAAAACATTGCTTGCCAAAACTAATCCATGGTGATTGAAGTGAAAAACTCGTTGCTATTGGAGTGGTAAAGTGGGAAAGTAGCTGCAAAGGGCAATAGGTCTCACTGTGCTCAGGCTGGTGTCGAACCCCTGAGCTGCAGCTATCCACCAGCTTTGGCCTCCCAGAAAGCTAAGACTACAGGTATGAGCCACCGCGCCTGGCCTAGGGCAATAGAAAAGTTCTATATCTTATTTTGGGTAGTGGTTACATAGGTATATACAATTGTCAGACTCAGTGAACTGAACACTTAAGAGCTGTGAGTTTACTGTATGAAATTATATCTCAATTTTTTTAATTTCAGCATATCATGGGGGTACAAATGTTAAGGTTATGTATATTGCCCATGCCCCTTCTCCTCCCTTGAGTCAGAGCTTCAAGTGTGATCATCCCCCAAATGTTGGACATCTCACTCATTATGTTTGTATACCTCAATTTTTAAAAATCCCTGAGATAACTTCAAAAGCAGAACAAGTGGCTACCAAACCCATATCCATAGGGAAAAGAGATGGAAAATGGAATATTAGAATGACAAAGTACTACTACTTGTTGCATTTATCAAAGATTTATAAGAAAACTATTCATGGCAAGCACTGACAAGTTCAAGAGCAGAAATGGAAGAGAATAGAAAATTCAGAAATTTGGGGGGCTCCCAGTTAGAAAAGCTGACTGCTTCTGGATTTCACATAGTAAGAAAGAAGACTGAAAAAAACTTTGAGCAAAATTGCCCATTATGTTTTCTCTGGTAAACAAGGAGACTCAGCCTTGTTGCAGATCAGATTAAGTATATTAATTTTCCATAAAACCCATTTTCAGATGGCCAGACAAGAGCCCCCATGAAGTTGAGAGACAGGGAATAGGCGTACCATATAATACATTGTCCAAATTAGGATAGTTTTGAGAGTAGAAGAGGGTATTATTACTTAGTATGTCAAGACAGGAGATATAAACTAAGACTGCCCTTACGAGCCTGGGACATGTAATTACTCTATTACTAGCACATGAAATTAACTACAAGAAGACAGAACGAAAGCCAAATAAGCTTCTGGGTGAATAGCATTGCCCAAAATTCCGTAAATGTTGCCTTTGACTGTTTGATCCTTTAAAAATGCTCAAGCTCCCCAAATTGCATGAACAGAAAGTAGAACCAAAGGCTATATAAAGCTTCCACAAAGGGTATATTTCCCAATGTTCACATAAATCCGACTGGAGAAAAACAGGCAAGGAAGAACCTTCCAGAGCAAAATCAAGTCCTCAAGAATAATAAACAAAGAGGTCTTCTTAGAGAGCAGGATCAGAACCTAATTAAGGGACATCTCCCACACTACCCAAAGAGTCTTCAAATGTTTCCTGCCATTCACATTTTTTGTCACTATCAGTATTCCTAATCATAGATGTTCCCTCAGTTTTAGGAGATTAAACATAAACTTATAATTTGCTAACTGGGCCTAATGCAATAAATTATAGACATTGCACGACAAGTGATGGTGGTAAAAATAAACCTGAAGAGTTTTTTACAAAGATCACTGAACTGATAGCCAGGAGGCCAATTCCTCATCCAACCTTTGCTATTAATTGTGTGATCCTGGATGAATCGTGACTACTCAGGACTTCAGTTTCTTCATTTATAAAATGAATAAGAAGATGTTGTCCAGCTCTATAATTCTAATTTAAAATTCTTGACCTCACTGAGCCAAAAGAAAAGTACAAAAATCCTCTCCAAAAAAAAAAAAAAAGTCTATAATAGACTAGTTGGTCTGGTTTTAAAGCAAAAACAACTGAACACAACTCTAAAAAGTTATGTTGGCAAGAAAAATTCTGGCACTCTTTCAATTCTGATTTTTCAATATTATTTGGGTCTCAGTACAGTACAATAAGGAATAAAATATAACTTTTAAAAGTGGGAAAAGACGCTTGCCTTCTATTTCATTAAGCTTTAGAAACTAATCCAAAAAGAAAGGAGGGAACTCTATCCACTTTAACATGTCAATACTTTTATAACATTTACAGACTAAATTTTAGAAATGTTTTAAAAACAAAAATGCAATTTGGAGACTTTTAATCTAAAAAATACTATAATAACATTTTATTAGTTACATAGTTAAGAATATTAATTCTAAAAATAGCATTTTTTCAAGTAATTAAAATTTGAAAAATATGTTTGCTATATTTCATCTTTGGACACCTCCTCTAAATTTTAGAAGAAAATAACATTCAGGATTCTTCACATAGTTGTCTTCACTATGAAATATAAGACAAACACTAATATTCTATATTGATACTTTGTTATCAAAGTATCATAAGTATCTAGCTCCATACAAGTATAAAAATAAGAGCCAAACATTTTAAGAGAACAGGGCCCAAATTTTGTCACCTCAAATCACTATATACTGGGGAAAAGAAAAGAAAGGAAACATTTTGCAATTCTGTTATTGCATTTTGACCTTTCCATTTGATTATTAATGTTGAAAAGTCTTATTTGTTCTTATTTAAAATATTTTGTGTATGACATTTATTTTTCCTAATGCTCTAAGAGCATAGCAGACTTTTACTTAGCCTTACCCTCCACTGTCCCTGTGTCTCTGCCTAGATTCACTGCATTTTCAACTTTTCCAGAGTAGAAACCTCCCATTTCTGAGGTTTGGGGAAGATAGTTGCCTGGCTGGGGTGAGGTGAGGACCTGGAAATCCAATTGGTCCTTTTACAAACTTTCAGCTGATCACCTATTTTCATCACCATGCCTCACCTCCTCCTTCAGCTCCTGTTATCATTGTTGCTCTCCTCTGCAGCTGCTTAGGTTCTTATCTTCTCTACTACACTAAGTCATGGCAGCATATACCTTCTGTCTTCAAATTTTATGGACAGGGGTAACTGATGTCACCTACTTCTCACCAAAAAGAGTTAGAATTTTTATTTCTATTTCCTCTGTTTTATACTAATTTTTTTAAATAGAAGAAAGCACAAAGTTCTTTACTTGCCATCTTAAAACCAGATAATACAGTCTGAATTATTTTCTGTATCATTTTTAATAGTTTGAAGTCATAACAGTTTTGTTCTGCTAAGCATGCACTCCCAATCCCCTTCTTCTGACTTTTTTGGAGAAAGCATCTCCCACTCCAGAAGACCCCAGTGGTGCCTGCAGTCACTGGACTGTGACCCTCTACTGCAGCACTGGGAAAACACAACCCAGGCTGACCACTAGTACACCCTACTCCCAGGCCAGTCACTGTTCAAGGATCCACACTCAGGGTCAAATGGTGTCAGTCCACATCTTCTGCCAGTTAGACACGTGGCCTGACAGATTCTCATTCTGTTGAGATTGCTAAACTGGAAGGATGACCATCTTGAGCTGAAAGTTGCTTTATTGGCCATATGCCTGTCTGAAGAATGACAAAGAAAGAAAGGAGAAGAGCTGAAAGACATTCCAAATGAGATCATTTGAGTTCCTGGCTGCACCATGCCTAAAGTTATATGCACTTCTGGAAACCATAGTTACATAAACAATTAAGTTACCTTTGTTTTCATAAGCTGTTTTGAGCTGGCTTTCTTTCCCTTGCAACTGAAAGAGTTCTGAAGAATAAATAATTGAATCTAAATGTTCCATTAATACTCAAACAATAAAACACCACTTCCTTGCCAAAAACTAAATAGCCTAACTCCTTTTACTGAATAAAATCACAAATCATAAATAACATACACATAAAGTCCCTTTTACCATTTAGTAATAGACTTTGGCTTTATTTGAATATTCACATTTTCAATGTAGTAGTATCTTTAAGAATGAGGTATGTATTCTATAATACTACAAACCCAATAACCACTAACCTACAGAACAATTTTCTTCCACATACTTCAAAAATTCTTTCCATTTCTTTAAACCATCTCTATCAGACCTCTCAGCTTTTAATAAATTTCAAGTTATATAATTACTGTACATAAAGTCTATGTGGAAAAATAAAATAATATATCTCAAAATATTTATTCACTTGAGAGAAAGAGTATGATTTAAATTCAAAGAATTATTCAACCTCAATCTCTGACCCAGAAACCAGAGACCAGGATAGCTTTAACCTAAAGATTTATAAGAAGGAGGTCGAAGGTAATAACATGCTTCTAAAAAGAAAGGTAGGAATGCTTAGAAGTCTGAGTTCCTTAGAGATGCTCCCTGTAGTGATTTCCTCATTATTATCTGTAGGCCACTGTACTCACCAACCCACAGTCAACGTTTAAACTTCTGGGATTAAAGTTCTTTCCTGAGTCTTCAGTTAGCTTCAAGTGCACATAGGGACCAAACAGGTAAATCTAAAAGAGGAGACTAAATATTTCTGATGTATTATAGTTATGTGCATTAAAAAGGAAATCTTATTAAAATTCCAGTCTCACTTCTTTGTGGTTCAAGTTATTTTTTTCATGCATAATTTCTACCTATTATCCCTAGTTTGTCCATGGTTTATTTCATAATGCTGTTTTATTTAATTAATTTGTTTTTGAGACAGAGTCTCACTCTGTTGCCCAGGCAGTAGTGCAGTGGTGCAATCATAGCTTATTGCAGCCTTGAACTCCTGGGCTCAAGTGATAGCAATCCTCCCACCTCAGCCTCTCCAATAGCTAGGACTACAAGTAGTCATTGTGCTCAGCTGATTTTTTTATTTATTTTTAGTTTTTGTAGAGATGATGTCTCAGTATGTTGCCCAGGCTGGTCTCAAACTTCTGGCATCACATGATTCTACCACCTTGGCCTCACAAAGTTCTAGGATTACAGGCATGAGCCACCATACCCAGCCCTATAATGCTATTTTAAATAATAGTTTTTTGGCACTGATAATTCTTGTATACATTTAATTTATGTAAGAATAAGAGCTAATAATAATAATAGTTTGGTTTACTGAGCACGTAGTACGTGCCTGGAATTGTTCTAAGTGCTTTGTATATATGAACTCATTTTGTCTTCACTGAAATCCTACAAGGTAGGTGCCATTATCACCATTTTATAGATAAGGACACTTGCTTGTCCAAGATCACATAGAAAATTAAGTTGTAAATTTAAATTCCAGAGCTCTGCCTCAAAGATCCCTGCTTCTAACTATTACTCTGCATGCCACAAAGAAATATACCACCTGTTAGAATTTGAATTTTGTCCGCCCAAAATGATATGTTCAAGTCCTAACCCCCTGAATGTGACCATATTTGGAAATAGGGTCTTCATAGATGTAATCAGGTTAAGATGAGTTCACACTGGATTAGGGTACGCCCTAATCCAATATGACTGGTATCCTTATAAGCAGAAAATTTGGATGTGAACAGACACAGAGGGAAGACAGCCATAAGAAGATGGAGTCAGAGACTGGAGTTAGGGTGCCACAAAGCAATGCCTGGGGCTACCAGAAGCTAGAAGGTAGAAGAGGAAGGAAGGGCCTTTCCTGTGAGCTTTTGAGGGAGCATAGCTCCACCAACAGCTTGATTTCAAGATTCCTAGCTCCAGAACTGTAAGACAATAGATTTCTGTTGTTAAAGCCACCCAGTTTGTGGTATTTTGTTACGGTAGCTATAAGAAACTAATACCATCTCTCACTTATACTGAAATATGAATTCCTATCAACCTATTTCCAATTTTAATACAGATGGTGGTATAAGTAACATTTAACTTTCCTTTTAATTCTATTTAAGGCAAAACAATAGCAATGGGTGGGGCTGTGGAAACCGAAAAACAGAGCTTCCATCTAATAAAAGGCAACTTCTATTTAGCTCTAGCTAATTATTGCCACATGGAAGGGCAGCACCAAAGTTGCCATGTCTTCCAGTTTGTAAGAAAAGCCAGAAATCTGGATTTGTGAATTAAATTAGTTAATAACAAATTAATTACTAGTTAAAATAACACTAGTTAATAACTTATGTTTTCAAAATAAAACAAAAAACATTGTGCAGGAAAAACAAAACACATTTATGGATCAAATCTGGCCACAGGCCCAGCTTTTTGCAATCTCTCTGCTTTGTATATTTTCTTTGTTTTCTACTTGGACTATCCCTGCACTTCACTTGACATGGCCCTAACTAGAGCCATCCATGTACCAGATCTTGGAAGCAGGCACAGTGCTGGCACTGTGAGACATGTTGAAGTCACCACCTTAGCACTAGGGATCTCTCTTTGGAACGTACTGAGTGTGGCAGATGCAGAGAGTCACAAATGCTTAGGAATCCATTATCTGAAGTCTAATGCTGCTCCTCTATTCTGTCAGCTGGTGTCCAATCTAGAGAGTCCAATCTACCAGAGCTGTAACTGGTAAAGGTTTTGTGAAGCCTAGGAAGTGACCTTAGTACTTCTCAGGCTCACTGCCACTTCATTCATAGCATGATCCTGAAAATTTAATGAGTTCCCCAAACTTCTTAACTCTTATATATATATTTGAAAATTTCATCAGTAGATTATAGCAGCTCATAATTGTCTTTCAGTACTCACCATCCTGTAACCTATAAAATTTCCTAGAAACCTGGAAATATTTTTGTCATTTATTATTTGTACAAATATATGGTATAGAAATGAAATTGTGTTACCTGTATATAATGCATAGCAATCAAGTCAAGGTACATAAGCATCCATCTCCCATGTACAATACATGGTTTAACTACAGTCACCCTACTCTGTTACCAAACAATGAATTTATTCCTCCCATTTCACTGTACATTTGGACCCTTTAACTCACTTCTCTCTGTCCTCCCCTGCCCTAATATCTGCTCACTATCTTTCTATTCTACCTCCATGTGATCATATTGTTTAGCTCCCACATATATGTGAGAACATGCAATATTTGTTTTTTTGTGCCTGGCTTATTTCACTTAAGATAATGACCTCCAGTTTGATCCATGTTGCTACAAAAGACATTATTTCATTCTTATTTATAGCCAAATAGTATTTCATTGTGTATATATACCACGTTTTCTTTATCCATTCATCTGCTGATAGACACTTAGCTTGATTTTATATTTCTGCTATTGTGAATAATGCTGCAATAAACATGGAAGTGCAAGTATTTCTTTAATATATTGATTTATTTTTCTTTGGGTAGATGCCCAGCAATGGGATTGCTACATCAAATGATAGTTCTATTTTTAGTTTTTTGAGAAATCTCCATACTGTTTTCCATAGTGACTATATAAGCTTACACTCCCATCAATAATGTACAATAGTTCCCTTTTCTTCACATCCTCACCTGTTATTTGTTTGTCTTTTTAATTTTTTTATTTTGGCATATTATGGGGGTACAGATTTTAAGGTTTCAATAAATGCCCATTTCCTCCCCTCCCCCCACAGTCGAGTCTCCAGCATGACCATCCCCCAATGGTGCACATCTCACTCATTATTTATGTATATACCGCCCCCCCCCCTCCCACCTGCCCAATACTCTATTACTGTAGTACCTATGTGTCCACTTAGTGTACTCAGTTAATACCAGTTTCCTGGAGAATATATCTGGCTTGTTTTCATTCTTGATACTTCACTTAGTAGTATGGTTCCAGCTTAACCAGGAATATAAGATGTGCTATATCACCATTGTTCTTAGAGCTGAATAGTAATCCATGGTATACATATACCACATTTATTAATCCATTTGTGATTGATGGGCACTTGGGCTGTTTCCACAGCCTTGCAATTATGAATTGTGCTGCTATAAACATTCGAGTGCAGGTGTCTTTTTTGTAGAGTGTCATTGGATCTTTTGGGTAGATGCCCAGCAATGGTTGCTGATCAAATGGTAGATCACTGTACACTTGTTTGTCTTTTTAATAATGGCCATTCTGACTCAGGTAATATGATATCTCATTGTGGTTCAATTTGCATTTCCCTGATGATTAGTGATGATGAGCATTTTTTCATACTCCTATTGGCTGTTTGAATGTCTTCTTTTGGGAAATGTCTACTATGTCCTTTACCCACTTTTTAATGGATTATTTGTATTTTTCCTGTTGAGTTGTTGGAGTTCCTTATATATTTAGGATATTAAGTCCCTTGTTGGATGAATAGTTTGCAAATATTTTTTCCCATTCAATAGGTTTTCTCTTTGTTGATGATTTCTCTGCCTATGTAGAGCTTTTATTTAAATATGGTCCATTTATCTAGTTCTGTTTTTGTTGCCTGTGCTTTTGAGGTCTTAGTCATAAATTCTTTGCCTAGACCAATGTCCAGGAGAGTGTCCCTAAGTTGCTTTTTGTATTTTTATAGTATTGGGTCTAACGCTTAAGTCTTTAATCCATTTTGAGTTACTTTTTGTATATGGTGAGGGATAGGGATTCAGTTTCATTTTTCTGCATGTGGCTATCCAATTTTCCCAGCGTCATTTATTGAACAGCATGTCCTTTCCTCAGTATACATTCTTGTTAGTTTTGTCAAAGATTAAATGGCTGTAAATATGTGGCTTTATTGCTGGGTTCTCTATTCTGTTCCATTGGTCTATGTGTCTCCTTTTATACCAATACGATGCTGTGTTGGTTACTATAGCCTTGTGATATAGTCTGAAGTCAGGTAATGTGATGGTTCCAGCTTTGTTCTTTTTACTCAGGATTGCTTTGGCTATCTGGGCTTTTCTTTTTTGGTTCTAAATGAATTTTAGGATTGTTTTTTCTAATTCTGTGAAGAATTATGTTGGTATTTTGATAGGGATTTCAGTGAATCTGGAGATTGCTTTGGGAAATTTTAATGATATTGATTTTTTCAATTAAATAGACATTAAATGCACAGTGAGGCAGCTTGGCACACCGCAGCATTTGGGACTTGCAACATTATTTTTGGTAAGTTTGTAGAGCAATGCTAGGAACTGAAACATAAAATCTGCCCAAGTCATCTCATTTAATGTTTTATGTTGTTGTTGTAGTTTTGCCTGAATTAAAAACCACCCAAATTTCCATCAGTTATTATACCTGTAAAATCATTCTGAAACTCACTAGCTTATTATTCTCAAAATAACCCAAATGGTCAATAAAGTAGGTTTTATCCCAATATGATAGATGAGAAAACCAAAGCACAAAAGAGTTAAATAATTTGTTTGAGGTTGTTAGTGACAGAGGTGAAGTCTGTATTCAAGCCTCTGGGTTACAAGTTAACTGATCTTACCCCTAAAATAAAAGTCATGCAGCCTTATTAAGATCAGACTTTCTAGACAGTCAGATAGACAGACCTGAAACCAAAACCAAATTATACTTCTGTTGACTTTTGACCTCATATAAGTTTTTAGCCAAATTTTCTCATTTCTAAAATGGAGTCAAAATGACAAAATACATGTAAAGAACATGGCACAGATTGG